GTTTTTTTTTTTCCATTACAAGTGCATTATACATTTGTAACTACTTTATGCTGTTTCTTTCTTTTCTTAATCTACTTCTGTACATTTGCTTTTCCTCTAACTTTTTAATTCTTTTGTTCCTATGATATCTATATTTCATATTTGCTACATTTGTTCTTAGAAAGTTATTTAGTGATGATCTGGTGAAATTAGGAGTATCATATTGTAGGTTTGGGAAACCTTTTTATAAGTCCCACCCCAAAAAACTTCAACTATATAATGATTATGATAATGATACTATTACTAATACTACGACTGTTGATAATAATGATAATAATAACGATGATGATGATACTGATTATAATAATAATTATAATAATGATAATGATAATAATAATACAGTCATAATAATAATAACATAGTATTGTTATTATTATGTTAAAAAAGTGATAGTCATGATGATGATAATGATAACAAGAAAAACAATATCAATGATAATAATAATAATGATTATAACAATAATAATAATTATTATTATAATGATGACAATAATAATATTAGTAATAAAGTATATATCTAATAATAATAAATCGATATGGTTTCTTTTATTTCTTAGTTGCCATGTCTCACATCCACAAAACGCTTTCCTCGTTTGTAAAGCGACATGTATCCAGTTTGAAGTATTTGTTTTCTTATTTTGCATGACACAAGGGACGCTTAGAGACGTGATAAGCGTTACGATATGCGACTTACGATACACGAAGACTACGATAAATTTAGCCCTAATTCGTAGATAAGGACACTTCGTATAAAAAATCTAATTTTCTCAATTAAAGAATTAATATTTTATTTCTACGTATCTAACCTTTATTTGCAATGAGAATTATGGACACAGTACACATTTTGGACTAGTGTACAGTGTTTAAGGTGTGTCTTTCTTACTAAAAGGTACAGTCAGATCTGCGACAGTGGACCTCAGACCCCGTGGTCAAGATCTATACCTTGCCGGTGTTCGCGTGATGGTTTGTACAAATATAAGTACAAAATACTACGAAAATATTTACATTGCATATTTGATACACAGAGACTCTGGAAAAGGGAAAATAGTTTTCTTAAGCGTTATGACAGTAAATATTCCCAAGAAGAGACGTCAAATACAGAATACTACGAAAATATTTACATCACAGATTTGGTATACAACGACTCTGGAACAGCAAAAATAATTGAAATTAAACAAACCAAAGTTTTCTAAGGCGTTATGACAGTAAATATTCCCAAGCAGAGAGATCAAATACAAAATACTACGAAAATATTTACATCGCGGATTTTATACACAAAGACTCTGAAACAAGACAAATAATTGAAATTAAACAAACCAAAGTTTTCTATGGCGTTATGACAGTAAATATTCCCAAGCAGAGAGGTCGCCAAGCCCAAAACAAGTCCGGCAAACACTGCTCCGCGCTTCCCGTTGGAGAGACAGGACATCGCCGCGCTGAAAGTTTAGGGAAAGCGATGCTCTCTCGCTTAGTCGCTTGGCGGGTCGAAAATTTTTTTTTTTCCCCTTCTGCCCTCCGTGAGTTCCTCCAAGACGGTTACTGAATGGGGCTTTCCTTTTTCTTTGGCAGGAGACTTTTTCTGAGGTTTCCTTTGGTTAGCAGGGTTTCGGCTTTAGCTGTTATGCTCAAAGTGTTTCATATTTGTGTATTTTAGCTGGACATACATCAATATATCTATATCAAATTATCTATCTATATATATCTACCAATCTCTATATGTGTGTGTGTGTGTGTGTGTGTGTGTGTATGCGTGTGTGTGTGCGTGTGTGTGTATATATGTATGTGCGTGCGTTGGTATGCGTGTTAATCTGCCTCTATCTATATTCATCAAATATCTGTCGATCGAGCCATCTACGTCTATGTATGCATATATATATATATATATATATATATATATATATATATATTTATATGTATATATATATATATTTATATGTATATATATATATATATATATTATATATATATATCATATATCATACATGCATATGAATAAATAGATATATACATACATACATCCACAAACATGCACACACATTCATATTATATATAGATATAGATAGATATGTATAATATAATATATATATATGTATATATATACATACACACACATACACACACACACACACACACACACACACACACACACACACACACACACACACACACATATATATATATATATATATATATATATATATAATATTATATATATATACATATGCATGCATGCATGTGTATATATCTATACACACACACACACACACACACACACACACACACACACACATATATGTATATATATATATATATATATATAATATATATATATATATATATATATAGGGTGTGTGTGTGTGTGTGTGTGTGTGTGTGTGTGAGTATACATATATATATACACGTATATACATACATATTTCTACATCTACACACAATCTTATCTTCTGCATCTCTATTCGTTTAAATTACAAAGACAGATAATCGAGGCGCTTCGAATGGCAACGCTGGAATTTGACCCGAACGTATTTTGCGATTCCTCTCTTTCGCTGCTTTGGAAGTTTCTATACACACACTTTATTTATCTGTGTATATTATATATAATATATATATATATATATATATATACATATGTATATATACACACATATATACATATACATACACATATATATTTACATACACACAACACACACACACATATATATATATATATATATATATATATATATATATATATATATATATATATATGTGTGTGTGTGTGTGTGTGTGTGTGTGTGTGTGTGTGTGTGTGTGTGTGTGTGTGTGTGTGTGTGTGTGTGTCGTGTGTGTGTGTGTGTGTGTGCGTGCATCTGCATACAAGGAACAACTCTCGAGGCTTCTGTTGTCCTCTCCCCCAGCAGCCAGTGCCATCGACGGGACATCTTGTTGAGGCACTATGTATGTTTCGGCACATCCGGGAGCTTATCCCCGAGAGCAGGAAATACACCAGAACCCCGAGGCCGCCAGCCGTGACAGCAGCTTCCCAAAGGACAGGCGATAGAATGATGTTTTATCCGTCATCATGCAGAAGATTCTTCCGATCACATGATAAAATTTACTCCTGATCCTGCACGAGCTTCGTTTGGTCATGCAACACACTAAAAAGTTTATACGTTATCGATACGTTTCCTTTACCCATGCGATGGCCAGATTTTACTCGTCATCATGCACAGGATTCCTTTAGTCATGCATGGTACAATAGCCAGCGTGGTCCAGAGGATCTCATTTCCGCTCCAGCATCAGGCACGCACAGGAATACCGCGGGAAATAGCGTGGTTCCAGGCGGTTCAAAGCACGCCCAGCTGGATCTCGTGGGTTTCTCTAAATCACCGACTGAATATTTAACTTTACTCGTAAATTCATATATACGATATTTCTTTGAGATTTTGAATGGAGAAGAGGCTGTAAAATATTTTGAAAGCGTCCAATAGTTGTTACGTTTTGTTATTTTGTTAATAGATAGTATAGATAGGTTAAAATATAGTTGCTGCGTTTCGTCCGTTCTATTGCAAGGCTGCATTGTTTATTATAGCTCACTCCTAAATAATGGAGGCTTTAACGGAGGCATAGCGTGCAGCAAAAGAGATTATAGACAGGAATTTTCTCTTTGTCCGTGATCATGTCCCGGATGTTCGCCATGATATGAGTCACGCGTTTGTGTACACGTTGCCGGATGTAAATATACGTTTCCTTGCTGCTATGTTCCCCCAGTTCCTAATCTAACCTAATCTATCACGAGCCAACATGGACAGGCCAAACACATACCAACCCAGTCAAAACCGACCCGACCCGAAATAGCTTAACTCAGCCCAATTCATTCCGACCCGATCCACTAAAGCCCAAACTAACCCGACACGGCACGACCTACCACAGGCTGACCCGACAAGACACAACCTAACACAGGCCAACACGACACGACACGACCTAACACAGGTCGACCCGACACGACTTAACACAGGCCAACCCGACCCGACATGACCTAATTCAGCCTAACTTAAAACGACACGACCTAACACAGGCCAACCCGACCCGACACGACCTAACACAGCCAAACCCGACACAGCACAACCTAACACTGCTTAACTCGACCCGACACAGAATAACAGCCCAATCGAACCCAACCCGACCTAACGCCTTCCAACCCGACCCAACAACGAACGACCTAACGCAGCCCAATTCAACTTAAACAGACCTTGATCCGCCCGGACCCGAACCGAGCCAACCGGACTGAACTGAATATAACGAAAGACAGGAAAACAGGGAGTGGGGAACATGAGTGGGACCCTTGAGCATTGCCTATCTCTGCATCCACGAGCATGCTTCTCGAAGGAACTTTGGAAATCGAAAGACTTCCTTCTTCGCTGTCAGTGTTCTTAAATAAAATAAAGGTACTATTTTTATTCGGAGGTAGAATATTATATTCTAATTTCCTTATGGCAGCACTGAAGTACTTGCATGGCAGATGGAACCAAGGTAAGTACTTATATTGACCTTGGCTGGAACTACATTAGCATAAAGAATTCGTTTTTCATAATGAGCTAGTAAGGGAAATGCGTATTTCGACTGCATTGCTTCCACTTCTATTAAAATATTAAGAGAAGAGAAAGTAAAGGATAATAAAATAAAGATGAAGGATAAAAGAGGAAGGAGAAGAGAGAGAGAGTATATAGATAAATATAGAAAGATGGCGTGAACTATTTACTGATCTCAATAATCAGTGGAAATGGTTTAGAAACATACAGCACCATTTTTATACATAGCATCCCTAAAACTTTGACATTTACGCATACAGTAAGAATTACGTACGTTTGAACTATATTTTTTAATTATTAACAATATATGTTTTTTTTCTGATTAACACTCCTCAATTAGATAAATTTAATTTACGGCTTGAGTAATTCTTACATTTCGGATCTCTCT